ATAAGTGGACGATGCAAAAAAAAAAAAAAAAAAAAGGGGCTAAGTGGAAACGGCCCCGAAAGAACGTGCCTCGGGGGGGGGTAGGTGAGCTTCCTKACGTATATCTTCCTTATAGGAAGGGCGCTCCCACCTATGCCATGGTAGGAGCTAGCCCAGTAGGTATGGAGGCGGGATGGCAAGCAGCAAGCATATGGATCAAACCCCACTACCTCCGCCCGCCGGGCTGGCTCCCGTGTTGGGTAAAGCGACGGAGCAAGGAAGTACTAGCGGGGCGCCTCGCCCCACGATAGATATACAGGCGGCGCTCCTACCTATACCATGGTAGGAGCTAGCCCGATAGGTTCAGAGGTGATCCTACAACCGCTGGATATGGGGATCGAGCCCACACGCGCCATGTTTTGCAGGCAATAGAAGGGCCGAATGCACCCGATCCGAATGAGGCACAGGGCGGCATCCGCCACGCCTCCTGGGAAAATCGCGCAGCCAGAAAATCGCCCGCGCGACAAATTTTCAGCCCCTGCCCGATTACGGGCGGACTCTATCTCTGGGCAGCGGGTTAGGAGGACCCTGTGACCGTTGGAGGAAGGACTAAGGGGGCAACGGAAAAGAAAAACGAACGGGGTTTCCCCTGATACGACCGCACCGAGTTGGGCCTCGAACTGTGGGTAGTGGGAAGGGGGAGAAAGGAAACCGCGTTAAAAAGAGACAAAAGAAAGCAAAAATGAAAACGACAAAACAAACTACCGGGAGCCAGATGGCGCATGGGGGGGAACCGCAAGGCGACAACTGGATCCGTTTCTAACGGATTTCTGTTGTTTTTTTTGTTTTTTTATTTTTTTATTTTCTTATTGTTTTCTTCCTTTTTTGTTAGTAACGTTCCTCTACAGCCGCCTCTATCAATGGTGTGTATCTTTCTGTGTTCTAGGAGAAGATTCATTCTCAAGTTGCATGATTAGTGGGGCTGCGCCAGAGGGAAATAGGGGCCCCACGCCCATACTGCCCCTGGATTCGAACCAGGGTGCCTAATATAGCAAAGGGGAGGGGGCCGTGGCTACRRCTGGGGCAAAAATGRCCATTWTGGTCCTCCCTTTGGCCTCAGCTGAGCCATTATGGCTACTCTGCAAACTCAGCACCCCCACGTTGGATCTTTCTGATCCTGGGGGTGGGGTTGAGTGYCGGGGAAAGGACAGCAGCACATSGGAGTAGRATAGGAGKCATCATAARGGAATTCCCGCCATTGAGATCAAAGGATCTCGTGGCTGGGAACCCATCAAAGAAGGAGAAGGGCTTAGGATGAATAGGGAACTAAGTCTAGCTTTTCCCCGACGTACCGGCGCTGGGAAAAATAGCCAGGTACATCAAACTTTAGGAATTCATAACTCCTGGAATAATTRTCAGAAAAATAMAAWARAAAWTGTTTCAGAAATGAGACAGTGTYAGCCATCTMGTGARAATTACGAGATGACTAATTGAACTAACCCTGAATAGATAAAAACGAGAGAAAGGGGAATAGTCAAAGTCAGTCGCACTAAGTGTGCGGCTGCGGTGCGACGACGTCACATCGTCGATCTCACAAAAATCGAGGGTCTAGGGCCATCTCGAATTATTGTCTAGGGACTAGAGTGTCGAGGCACACTCTCCCCCTCGAATTACTGTCTAAGGGCTAGAGTGTCGAGGCACACTTTCCAACTCGACTATAAAAAAACAGGCAATGCCCAGCAGTTGCTACACAAGGAGCACGTGCTGTAGGAGTGGTCGCACACTCTAAGGCATTTGTGAGTTGCGGGAGTGCTTTGGGAATGCTGCTGCGAGCCTACTAGAGGAGCTGCTGGAGCCAAGAGGAGGAGGAGGAGCCACCATAGCCACAAGGAGGAGGCACCTTGCCGACACCTTGGGTTGGTACCGAACCTACGGCACATGTGCTAGGGACCACTCCATTGGAACGGGAGCTCACCTCCAAGACTCAAGGGAGCGGCGTTTTGGACTTAGCTTCGGCCGAGGGCCGGGTTTTATTATATTTTTTGCTTGGACGTGGCCGACGTGAGGGAGCATGCTACCGGAGTAATCAAGCGGCAAGGCTACGTCCACATGCAGAGGAGCGTTACCAGCCTTGTCGTAGGTGGGCGTCAAGATAATTTTATAAGAGTGTCGTGGGACCGCCGTTGGGCCTGGTTTTTGACACCAAGGCGGTGCCTTTTATTTTTTGAAGCAAGGATCTCGGGTTGCGGTCCGACGAGGCGCCGGTACCGCTTACCCGCTTGTTGGCGGTTCAAGGCGGTAGCACCAATTAAATTTGTGTGGCATTCCAAGTGTGTCGTCGTGGTCCGAGGGAGGTGCCGAGTGCGGCACATGCTCAAGGCGGACGCCGGTGCAAACTTGTGGTGGTACGACACAAGGGATTTATTTTTTTTTTGTAGCAAGAACGACGTAAGTCCTTGAAATTTTGGCGTGGTGGAACCCTTAGTACCGGTACTTGGCACCGTTGGGACCATTTGGGACTACGCCGCATAGACGGTCCTATTGATTGGACCTCCGACACTTCGACGCCGAGGGATTTATTTTGGAGTGCGTCGGCAGCTTCCATTGCGTTGGGCCCGTCGGGACCAATTTGGAACCAGGGGTGCCACTCATCACTCGCGGGACTTGCCGGAGCAAGCAAGGACCTCTCAATAATTGTTGACGCTCGCGGCGCTTGTGGTTTTCTATTAAAAACATTTTGGAGCGTGGTTGACATTCAAGATTCAACTTGGCTTTCTTGGGTGAGTCGGTCGTTATCAGCGACACTTCACTCAAGGTCAGTTAATGACTCAGACCTCTCACTCCCCACGTGAAACCACAGTTTTGCTTGCCCTATTTCTATTTCCTTGAATATTCAGTTAAAAGAAAAAAAGGTTGGTTTGTGTGTGCTCTAACGTGAAAAGGGAAGTGTTGTCTGACCCTGAGTGTTCCTGCCTACCCTTGGAATATGTCTTGGCTTTGTACTTTTGTTGCATGCATGTGAGCAAAAGCTTTGTATGTCCAACGAGGACTGGGGTCTTGTGGATGAGACGCTCCACCTATGAAAAACTCAAATGTTTTTTTTGTTTTGGTTCATAAGATCCTTGGTCGATTGAGGCTCACGAGGGAGGGATCTTGTCATTGATTTTGTCTTCCTTTGTTCGGTTAGGCGATCTCCACATTAGGAATTCAACGATGTGGGCCGTCCGTTACATTACTATGACGCGACCCTCACCTATTACCCGTGACAAGAATTGTAGGACGAGGCGAAACGGGTCGACAAGGCTCCACTATTTTACCCTTTTGCCTTCCTTTCTGAACTATCCATCGCATTGGAAATAGCTCCTATGAGCATGCACCTAGCAACCTCGTCTGGCCTGAGGAGCACCATGGAAGGATGGGCAGCTTCCAACTCCCCTGGGCCTTGTGGGACTAAATAGCGATGGGAATCAGCCTATATTTAGCCTGCACACGCTTGACGCCGTCCTATATAAGTAGCCCAGCTCCTCGTATACTTCACTTCACTACAAGGTTTTTGTGTCGCCGGTTCCTTTTCTAAGAGGACGACAGAAGTTGGTTCGTCGTGGCCTGCATCGCCTATCGTGCCGAACCTTGGCAAAGGGGGTGAGGCGGTCAGCCGGAGAAATGGGGGCGCGGGTAGCAGACAACACGGGCGCCGCAAGCGGTGCCGCCTCAAGCAGTTCGCGACGAAGGGTCGCGAAGGTCGCCACCATCATATTGTTTCCAAGCAAGACGGAGGCAAGGGCATCTGCTGTAGCCGTGGGAGGATTTAGGCAAGGATGGGCGAGAGTCGGCCGCATGGTCTTCCATCCGGCGGACGTCTTCCCGACCGAGGTGGAACTCAGGGAAGACCAGGGGACCCTTGAGGACCCACCACGGATTTATGCATTTGTGACAATGGTTATGAAGCTGGTGCTAAGCGTTGACGTCTGCCCCCTTAGGAAGACGCATTGGTTCGACGTCGGGGTCATCGACGACGTCATGAACAAGTCTATCCACCGCAAGTTCGAGGACGAGATCATGTGGTTGTCCCTGCGCATTATGCGGAACCACCACGCTCGACAGGGTCCATTCATATATATCGAGCACTACGATCACGTTGGACCGTATGATGTCGGATTCCGTGTCGCGGAGAGATGTGACGATGAGGCCCTCCAGCGGCAGAAGGAGAATTTGCTAAAACTCTTTCATATCTGATGATGACTCTTTGTGATGCAGGATGGTTGGAGCTCGGCGCGACCTGACGATCCTCAGGTATCTCCTGATTCGAGATACGATCGAGGCTGACCGCATCGCCTGGGCGGAGAGGATGTCGATGGTGTTCGATGGGACTCCGACTCGATGGCTCGGCTTCGTCGGAATCGTCAACGACGGACGTGGGTTTCTTCCGGAAGAGCAATCGGAGATTCGACCGAACGTGATTCGGCGTCCGAACGAGTTGCAAGGGAATACTTTGTATTTCCATCGGGTCTCGAACATGGAGCTTGTCTCTCGAGTCACCGCCGGGGTACTCTTCAGACGATCCGGAGAGCGAATGGTGTTCCTTTGGCTTCGAGACACTTCCGCCTGGCGACACCTCAAGCGCCTCGGTGTACCTTTTTGGTCCGTCCTGTTGACATTGGCACGACGAATGGTGGAGCTCTACAGCACGAGCGACCTGCGACTACGATGGCAAGGACGAGTGCGGAGGATGGTGATTAACGAGGCGTTCATCCGACGGCATACCGGGCTAGATAGACGCGCTCGGGCGACTCACACGCTTTACGGCTGCTAGGAGTCGTCCACCCTCTATAGGTCCGTCTAGAATGGACCGTCCAGCGGAGGGTAGCAAGTTAGACTCCCACAATCGGATCATCAGGCTTCGCCCTCGAGAGGGCTAAAACGTGATAAAATTCAGTAGTGCCGACCAAGAAAACATGGTCAGCCCACCCCTATGATTATCATTTTTCCGCGATGAATTTCGCTGGTGTCATGATGAGGGGTGAAGGCGACACATGAATTTTGTTCCYTTCCTTTGTATATATTTAARATTGATGGTCGTTCGCAGTCAGGCGATAGCCTYTGTGCTAGGAGGSACGCAAGTGGTTTGGATAACAGGAAGTCACAGAAAAAATAATAGAGAGTGTCTTGGGCATACCGCTACAACGCGGAGTTGCTTTTGCGAATTTGATTCAGTAAGTTC